TGGGTGGTGGTGTGGTGTGGCTGGTGGTGGCTGGTGGTGGCTGGTGGTGGCTGGTGGTGGCTGGTGGTGGCTGGTGGTGGCTGGTGGTGGCTGGTGGTGGCTGGTGGTGGCTGGTGGTGGCTGGTGGTGGCTGGTGGTGGCTGGTGGTGGCTGGTGGTGGCTGGTGGTGGCTGGTGGGTCTGGTGGTGGCTGGTGGTGGCTGGTGGTGCTGGTGGTGGCTGGTGGTGGCTGGTGGCTGGTGGTGGCTGGTGGTGGCTGGTGAGTGGGTGGGTGGGTGGGTGGTGGCTGGTACCGTAGTTCGTCGAGGAGCATGGCGTGCTGGTCGTGGAGGCGTGCCTCGCGTAGCTGGTTGAGGCGTGCGAGGTACTGTTCGACGATCCAGGCGGCGAGGGCGGTGCGCTGCATGAGGGCGTGCGGGGGCAGGAGGGCGAGGCGTGTGGTGAGGAAGGCCTTGAGGGCGTCCTTCTCGCCGAGGGCGATGAAGCGGAGGGCGACCTCCTCGAAGGGGGCGGTGGTCTTGGCGAAGGCGCGCGCGGCGGACTCGTATCGCTTGGCCTGGAGGTAGTACTCGGCCTGGCCGAGGAGCACCTGGTCGCGCTGGCCGGGCAGCTTGCAGTAGCGGAGGGCCTCCTCGAAGAGGCCCTTCTCGAGGTACTTGCGCCACACGTGGCGGTCCTCGTCGACGGCGAAGAGCTGGTAGATGGCGTCCTCGGCGTAGGCCCACAGCGCCGCCTTGGTCGGGTCGAGCACGAGGCCCCGCATGCGCGACCCGCGCGACCCGCGCCCGAGGCTCTCCTCGTGGGCGACGGTGTTGTCTAGCTGCGAGACGGCCACGAACCGGTCCTCGTAGAGCAGCAGGAAGTGGAACTCGGACAGCACCAGCGACAGCGGCGAGCCCAGGCGCCGCTGCCGCGCCTCGTCGCACCACGGGTAGGGCAGCAGCTGCGTGTCCGCCATCACCGAGTCCCCCGGGTTCTGCGACCCGAACACCAGGCTCCCGTGGTAGATCCCCGGACCCGTCAGCCACGCGAACGACTTGGCCACCCCCTGGTACTTGCTGAAGAAGCTGATGTTGCTCTCCGCACGACGCCCCGCCTGCTCCCCCGGCAGCTCCAGGAACGCCGGATTCCGCTCGTAGCCCCCGAACACCGCCTCGAACGTCGGCCCCCCGATGAACTGGTACAGACGCGTACCTGGCCGTGGTCACGCATACACGCGACACACCCCAACCCACCACACCAGACACGCGACACACCCCAACCCACCACACCACACACACACACACACACACACGAACGCCCGTCGTCAGTGGATAATGCCTCGAGAAGGCGGCTGGTTACTGCGGCGGCGGCGGCAGGAGGAGGAAGGAGGAAGGAGAAGAGGAGTAGTACCGGTGGCGGCCATGACGAAGAACTTGGGGCCTTCGACGCGAGACGGAGGGAACCGTTCGTAGCGCAGGCCCAGCACCGGCTGCACTCGACAACGCACACGGCACACAACACACGGCACACGACGGGCGACCGCGAGGACGCAAATTGCGGGAGGTAACAGTGATTAGGGGAAGGTATGGGAGGCATGCGGAGGCATTGGGAGGAGGAGGAGGAGGTGCCGCACCTGGTCCTCGCCGAGGGCGTAGATGGGCTTGAAGTACTTCTCCTTGCCCTCCACGAAGAGCTTGTCCTTGGCCTCGACTGCCGTCTCGAAGATGCGGCCGTCCCGCGATCCGATGAGGATCTCCCCCGTGTTGGACGGATCCGTGTTGTGTGTGTCCCACGCCACTGACTCGATCAACAGGCCCTGCTCACGCACGCACGCACGACACACGACACACGACACACACACGACACACAATGGATGCCGGTGAGGAGGAAGCGAGAGCGAGAGAGCGTGGAGGACAGGCGTCGCGCAGATCCACCAACGACGGCAGCACACCCGGGTGCAGACCACGCACGC